ATAAATAACATTGATTCATAAAAATGAAAATTCCCATTTCTTTTTGAACATACCCCGTATTTGTGTACAATTTGATATTTAGGATTTTTATGTATTTTTTGTCGGTGCTGATGCGTCATTCTGGAGAATACACGCACTGTTTTACCTAATTCTGTGTCTGTGTGTAAATCTTTCTCATAGCCCAAAAGATCCTACCCCCTTGAGAGGCAGCCAAAGGCTAGCGTTAGAATATATATATATATATATATATATATATATATATATATATATATTAGTGACGAACGCGGGGGTGTAGCTCCGTCCCACACGTCATGACACCTATGGCAGAACAGATGCGCGAGCGCAGCGCGGTTCAAATAGGGCGCGGCCGCCGCCGATGAGACGAGTGCCTGCTGTGACCGCTAGATAGCGCACGAAATACGTGAACTCAACCGGAGGAGAGGTAGACGTCGCGCCACCCCTCACAACGGAGGGCGGGCACATATATAAGTAGACCCGCATGTGGGAGGCCTTTTTCGTTTCCTATCGCCGAGCCAGCAGCTCTTTGATCACCGCTCGCCGGGCCAACACTTTCGTTATCATTCGCCTCAGATATTGTTCGCCGCAGCAACGACTGTTAGGAGTATTCGACGTCGAACAGACGTGCTCGCCACTCGTCCGCGAGATAGTGTACATTAAGGAAAAGCATTTCTTCGATTAACGACACGAAGTAAAAGTTACCAGTTGTTAGAAAGGCAGAACTTTAGTAAAGTAGAATCAGCAACGGGCGTAGACGAGGAAGAAGAGGACAAGGAACCGGGCGTACGAAAAAGAAGAGGACGGAACCGGGCGTAGGAGACACAAGAGAAGGAAGACCGGAAGAGGACCCAAGTAGGTCAATTCACGTCGGCAGGGGAGAATTAGTACAGGAGTGTGCGAGGGAAGCGAGGGAAAGGATGGCAACAAATTCCAATTTAATAGCCAGAGCCATTTTGAAGCACTATTACCTACATAAAAGATTGTACATAGGACATGTTTATTTGTTATTTTCAGCCACAGCTAACCTTGTAAAGAGCACACATGCACTGACACACATTTTTGCATGTGATATTGTGTGAAAGTTATTGTAAATTGTATTTTTTTTTTGGGGGGGGGGGGTCGTGAGCAGTGTAAATAAGAATAGCCCAGATTTAGATATATTCAGTTTCAAAGGGAATTCCCAGTAGATATTAGGGCAATCACCTGTGTCTCAAATTGTGGGGTAAATTTTGTGTTTACTGTTTCATTTGTGTGTAATTTGTAAAGATGAAGTGGGCTTTGAGGCAATTAAACACTGTTTAACTGTTTGTTTTCTTGTTTGGATTGGCTCGCAACACCCAAAAGGTCCCACTGCCCTGTGATTTCTTTTCAGCTCGCAAGAGCAGATATCTGCGGACTATTCCAACGGAAAACTATTTGGGAAATTATAGATTGTTTAAAGAAAGGGGGGGGGTTCGTCAGAACATATAGTGGGAAATCAAACATTTCTCTCGCTCTTACTAGTAAAACGGTTTTTGCTCTTACTCTTATAATATAAACTATTTTATGAATTACTGGGAGAGAACCTGGGGATTATGGGCAAGTGATTACCCAAGCGACATCTCGCACCGGAAATCTTGAAACTGGAGTTTTAGCTAGCTTCTCTCCCTTAGTGTATATACTACTATAGTATGAAATAAATTCAACTATTTTTGCGTTAATTTATGTAAACATTTTGTAGTTTTGATGATTACAATTAAATTCAACAAAATTAGATTTTCTGATTCCCTACATGATGACAATTTACAAATTATTTTGTTTCAATTTAATGTATACATTAAAGAGGATATTAATTTTATTTGACATTTTTTACTAGAATCTGTAAGGATGCTAGTGTAATAATACGCTTAACATTAAGATGGCTGGGAGTACCTTGGTTGATGAAGGGTTCGCTTACTTGCCTCTAAACCAGCAGTGCGCGGGTTCGATTCCGGGAGGTGACCGGATTTCCGAAGAGCGGAAAATTAACAGTAGCCATATCACACTTGTGACGTGTAAAAGAACCCTGGCGGCTTGCCCGGCAAAATTAAATCCCACTGACAACACTCGCCCAAACAAGATCTCACTTTCCAAAGACAGTTCGAATACAGATACTGAGACAGACATCTGGTGGAGAAAGTGGAGTCAAATTCCAGGCGCATTAGGGTACTGCCGGCGAGGCGCGCCTGTTCAATGAAGTCCCCATACCCGTGTTGCAGGTAGGCTTCTAAAGACGCCTGGGTCAAAACCCGAGAAAAGCAAACCACCCTGAGTAATTCATCCCAAGAAAATCCGTAATGGGTCACCTAACTTCCGTATATGGAAGATAGAACCAAAGAAGGATGGCCGGACAGTTTGTGTTTATAAATATATGGGGTGATTTTTTTATCTTGAGACCATAAACTGAGAGACGAAGTGCACGCAATGGAAGCAGACCAAGGGGTGAAGATACGCAATTCAAAAACTTGTTGGGTCAACGAACACTGAGAGAACATTGTGAATTCTGATCGTTAGTTTTTTTATTGTGAAACAAAAACAATGCTTTCTCGCAACGTTTTAACAATGCGTACGCAAGATGTACTCGATTTCCGATAACGTTATATCGCAATGTTTGTTCAATTTTTTGTTTAAAAACTACAAATTTTCAAAAACTTATTTTCGTTTTGTTTACTTTGGAACGTTTTAGCAAGCATTTTGCAACGTTTTGGAAGAGTTATCCCTTTTTAGCCTTATTTCATTCACTTTTGAATGTTGTTAACGATGTTATAGCAATTTGAAGTTTGTTCCATTTGAAATTTAAAAGTTACTCCATCCAGGGGCTGCTCACCCTTATCAATAGATGAAATTCTTAAAAACACCATTTTGTTTCTTGGCCCCCTAGAGCAATTTCACCAGAATTGACAAAAATTGTGTTTTCTACTATTACAGCGCCATCTACTGTAATAAAAATGTTTCAAACAAAATCTACGTATTTATTGCGGGGAAACTGAATCCGCTACAAAAATAGGGGTTTGAAATTCGCAAGTTGCCCCAGCCCCACCCTCAGGGGGTAGAGGTGTCAGGTCGAGATTGGTATCATCCAATAAGCCCCTTTGAGACATTTTATTCGAAACATGTCTTGTTACGATTCTTAGTTTTCAAGATATTTAGTTGTCTCAAGCTAATAAAAAAATCACACTGTATATATTAAATATTACTCGCGCAAGTTTTCTCGATGCACGAGCTCCCTACACTTCATCCAACGCTGAATAGCATGGCACGTAGAGATACTTAGGTTCGACTCGAAACGGCACGTAGCAATTTACAATGCTGGCAACACCACGTACTTTCAAAACAATCGTAGCATTTCTCTTGGCACGCTTTGGCGAGTGAAGTCCATGCCCACAGTTGGTACGCCCTTTTAAGCCAGAGCCCTAATCCCCCCCCGCTGTGGAATACCAAGGAAACTTGCGCGTATAGTACAGTAAAACACCTTTTTACACTTTTCAGGGGAGCGATGAAACAAAGTGTAAAATGCAGAAAAGTGTAAAAAACAGAAAAGATGAAAAACGATAGGCTAGACGAGTACTTTCATTATTTACTACAATGGTAAGTTTTCACTTTCTAGCCTTCGTAAGAAAAAGTAAAAGCGTGCGCCGGAATCCGCGCTTTTCGTCTGAAAATCGCTTCCTGGCGGGCCCCAGCAATAAAAAAGTGGATAAATCATATTCCTAAATATAGTAAATTACTTCCTCTAACACGCGGTGTAGCCTGAGTCCCTGTTTAATGGGTTGTTGAAACCGCAAAATCGATTGACGGCTGTTTGCCCGCCTGTGGTCAACGCGAGCGCCTAACCCGCAAGGCGATTTTTTTCAAAATTGGTTTTCCTCGATTGATCTGAAAAAACTCGAGGCTATTGCGTGTTCGTTACATACATATGTTGCAATTTACTACATATTGGAACAGAATGTAGCCACTTTTTCTGTCTTAGGACGAGTTTTTCTGTCGAAAAATCGCCAGTTTTTACCGCAGTATTACTAACTTTCTCAGCACTCGGTATAATACGTATACAAGAAAGTAAATAAAATAAATTTAAAAAAAGACGGGAAGCGGGACGGGACTCTTCATATCAAGTTGTAAATTGCGGGAGGAGAACACATTAGGGAGTTTTAGCGCCATGCGTAAGGAGATATCCTTAAACTCTATTGATCACGTGACTAACGCCTTCATAAGGTCGTAATGAACAACGTTCATTTGCGTTTTAGGAATTGCGACATTGCGTTATGCATTATAACAAAGGAAGCATTTCAAGCGTTGAACAGAGAAATTGCATAATATATCAAAGAGTGTAGGCTAGTGGTGAGACATTTAAAACATGTTACGAGTCAACAGAACAGCAAATACACATTGTGCATGGAGTTTTAGATTTTGAATCTGCTTTTCTTGAAAATGTAGGAAGTACCTTAAAACAGCGTTCGTTATGAGCATAAGACATAACTTATCCCGAAGATATGATTTGAACTTATTTTTCGCGAATGTCTTTCCCGTCACCTCTCCAACATATCCCGTTAATTTTTGCCAGCGTTGTGGAGTTCGTAAGGAATAATAGTAACTGCCTTACATACGACAATCGGTTTATTAGAGTTGGAAAAAAACTTTTCCTGTTTTTAGGCGGCCATTTTGCCGCTTGCAAGGTGACCGTAGAGACTCCTACAGGCGTGCACTATTTTTGAATGTATAAGGTCGTACCTTAGGCAAAACGTTATGACTTGAAGGTCCGTCACGTGACTCCTAGTGAATAACGCCGCTACCTTACGCGTGGCGCTAAAACTCCCTGTTGTAAATATAGGCTTTTCGACGGGACCAACGAAAAATTACGTAAAAGGCGGGAAAACGTACAATGCGGGAACGTAAAAACTGTATGTAAATATGTAATTAACTGTATACGTATGTATGTATAAATATAAACGGATTTACATTGAATGCTATATTATATACAAGAGATTCAGTGTAAATCTCGTGCAATAAAAATGGCGGCCAAGGTAGTGTTATTTTATCATTTACTACAATTTTTATTGGTTATTTAGAATTATAAACTATATGTTACAATAACATGTCTGATGTGCGTGTGTGGTGAATATTAGTTGATTTACTGCTGCATCTGGTCTCATTGATACAATTCTTTTCTTGGAAAAAATTGGTTAATTCCTCTTGCAGTTTCTTTCCGAAATTTGGAGATGACGATAGGAGGCTACTTTGTACTGTAATAGTAGTTTGATTTGGCAAAAAGTCATCTCCAACCCTCATTGGAATGATTGTTTATTGTCATGATTGATTAATTAATGTGTGTTCTGCTTTTTTGCCTTAATTTGGCATACACCTAAGTTGAGCAGAATTTCCTAGTAGCTCTTTTAACACAGATAATTTATCATGTTTCAATAACTCTGCTCGTTGCTTGTATGTGTTAGATGTAATACCAATTTCTTTTTTGCATTCAGGATCACTTTTAACAATAGATTAGTTTGTCTGACAAATTTTCAAGCTGATTGTCTATTTCTTCTCTCAATAACATTTAAAATAGCAACTGAAGGCACATGTATTTCTTAAAACGTGATTTTTCCTTTGAATACGGCAGCATTCAGACTTGTTAATTTCTATTTCATAAAACTGGAATTTTGGTCAGCTTTGGGTGAATGATGAAGTCTGTTTCATGAAAATCTCTATTAATGTATGGAAATATTTTCTTCCATTTTCATTAGATTTCTAGACAAGACCAATCCAGTCTTGTCTTTTTCATTCAATGAAATTATTTGCTACACTGACTGTCACTTGAAGCCAAGACATTTAACACAAATTCATGTTTCTCTACATCCTCCTCCTTGCATTGGTAGAGAATACTCAACCAATAGGTGTACATTTTTGTTACAAATAATGCATTTGTGGGCACCTGTCACTCTATCTCTATTTCTGCACACTAAACACGGGAAGTTTTCACCCTGTACCTATTAACAATTTAAATGAAATTTACATTAAATAGATTTATACTAAACATATTAATGTAATTTATTTGGATAATTATTATATATACATAAAATATTTTAAGGAGTTACACATACTGATTAAATTCTGGTGACACTTTCTTCTTTTATAACTGATTCATCGTCAGCTTCTTGTACATCATTATCCTTTTCAAATACATCTTCTTTGCCTTGCTCTGTATCTTTATTGAATCTTTATCTGACTGGATTTTGTTCTGCCTCTTAACAATCGTAGGAATGCTTTCAAACTGAACCTATTAACAATTTAAACAAAATTGTTATTTCTTAAAAAATAATAGATTTATATATAAACATATTAATGCATTTGGGTAATTTATTACACATAAAATATGAAATCTTTGCACCATATTTTAAGGAGTTACACATACCAATTCAATTCTGGAGACACTTTCTTCTATCACTGAATCATTTTCTACATTTTGTAGATCATTAGCCTCTTCAAATATATCTTATTTGTCATACTCAATAACTATATTTATCTGACTGGACTTTGTTCAGCCTTGTTGTAACAATTTTATTTTTCCCATTAATGTATTTGACGTGAGTAGTAATAAAATCGTCAATCCAAAGATTTGATTTTTTGCGTAATAAACAATTTTTTAGATCATTGAAATCTTGCTCAGCTAAGGCACTTGCTGGAGGTACTTGGCAATACTCACACTTGTGTCTTGTGACACTTGTCAACAGACAAATTGTGAAACAATGCTTTAGCAATTTTTCAACAAGATCATCATTCCGATGAGCATTTAAAACTCTCAATTCTTCAGCTGAACATTTCACATCTTCGACAATCGATTTTGCCCAACTCGTAACAACAAGTTTGAAGGTGGTAGTCATCACTGCACATTAGGACATTATTATAATCTTCTGAAAATTAATATATTCAATTAATTGAATAAAATGGAAAATAAAATATTTTCCGTACAACTTGTGTTTTATTTGAAAATAATGTTTACAGTAATAGAATAAATTCAAATGCTTCAAGAAGTGAATAGATTAATATCTAAAGAAATGTGTAAACATTCAGGTACATTATAATATATAAATGAATAAACAAAATTAAAATATTTTTTAACATTTTGTTAAAAAATGTACATTTTCAATTATATTTTAAATATGTTATATTATCTAAAGTATCATTAAGTAGTAAACCTCACAATGTTGCACTAACAAATTGAATATTCATGTATTTTAGAAACAAACAATTCAACATAAATTTGTTCTGTATCACTAAGAGGAAATGCTATTTGACCAGCTTTTGCACTTTTCATTCATAACTGAGCGTAAATTAGACTTCATTGAATTTTGAAACTTGGAGATAGTGTAATAGATTATGCTACCGATATTCAATTTTTAATTTAATTATTAAATAATACTTTGTTTCACTGTATATGACTCGACAAACTTGCTTGAAGCTTCTTTTATCGTTCCAGAATATTTATTATGTAGGTAAGTCCTTACATCACTTATTACTGATAATTTACAATAATGTTGCATTTATTCAACATTGGGATTAGTGAGTATATGAGTATATAGTAGAGTACAAATGCAATTGGAATGTAATTGTTGAGTAATAGATATGTAACTAATGTCTCATATTTCCGTTCTTGATATTGAATTTGCCTTAATTATGATATAATTAATATAATTAAATAGAATATGATAAATGTAGAGCGATGTCATTTTATAGGTCTTCATTTGTTAATTATAATTACTCTATTTTTGGTACAGTTCTTGTTAGAGTAAGCTGTTTAAAAGTTCTTGGTCTTATCTTTGATTGCTAGCTAACTTTTAAATCCCGTATTGAAAGTGTTATAAATTTTGCGAACAAATCATTTTGATACCTAATGAGAACTTGTAGAAAATTCAAGAATATTAGATAGATTTATTAAAGTTAACTTTGAGCTAATGCTCAATGGCAAACTAGATTACAATTAGAATTAGAACAATTACAAACATTTACAATTAGAATTAGATGTTGATATCCTATTTTTAATTAATTTCTAGTTATCTCTAAATAGAGTTCTAGTTTATTTATCACTTCCCTACACTACACTTCACTGTATAAATGACATGGCCATAATACTAATAATAATAATGACAATAATGATAAATGCCTCAGTATTTTTAGTGATGATCTAGATGGAATTAAGCGCATCTTTGAATTTGACTACATTAGAAGGAAGATACTCAAGAGCTTTTGCAGGTAGTTTGTTCCAATCCACTATATTGCGATTCACAAAAGAGAACTTGTTTATATCAGTTCTTTGTTTTATACATAATATTTTCCAAGGATAGTCTACTCTGCTTTTATAATCTGGTTTCTGCTATCTTTTACCAATATCTGCCCATGCTGTGTCTCCTCCAGGTCATGTACACCATGCATAAATGAACCTGGTCCCGGCTCTTAGATAAGGACACCCATTCTTCTCATCCATCAACAACAAGCCCATAATTTACAAACTTTCTGGTCCATTTTTATTTCATCTAATGCCTTGATTTGCCTCTTTCTGTACGTGTCCCAGCATGCCGCTCCGTATTCTAAAATAGGACAAACAAGTGTAGTATGTGCTAAGGATGCAGCATTTGAACAACTATTTTTTAGAATATGCATTACAAAGAGCAGTGCCCTCCAGGATTTTTAGATCTTATTGTTAATATCATCTGACTAACCCAAGTCACTTTGCAGGACCAAACCCAAATAATTACAGGTTTTTACATGTGGTATACCGTTAGTTTCTAACTCATAACTGAAGTGTGCACTCCGGCATGACTTGTTAAAACAAATGGATTTTCTCTTTTCTGAATCTAATTTATCTTATTTCTGCATGCTCAGATCCAAAAAAAGTTTACATCGTTCTGTAAAATATTTTCATTCGCAGACAAGCACAATATTCCTATATATTGTGCAATCATCAGCGAAAAGTCTAACTTTTGATTTTATTCCAATTGCAATGTCATTAACGAACATAAAGAATAGCAATGGCCCTAACACAAACCCCTGGAGTACCCCATCGGCTTACGTTGAAAATTCATCACCTATTCTGACTGAATGTGCCCCGAAAGAAACTCTTTTATCCACAAGGTTATCCGATGATTTAATCCGGTTTCTGTCAATTTGGCAATTAAAAATGTAATATTATTGTATCGACCCTACTATGGCGTGACAAAAAGCAATAGTTTGGCTGTCGCCCAAATACCCAGGACCAAAACCGTGCTGTTTGCGAAATAGCCAATTATTTTTATTCCTAACTTGTCTAATGTACTCCGGAATAATGTGTTCCCTCTGTTTCAATACGATTGATGTCAAACTTATAGGCCTGTAATTGTTAACAATCTTTCTGTCCCCTCCCTTGTGAATCGGCAGTACAATTTCCTCTTTCCAATTTTGAGGAATTGTATTATTATTTTCTCCTGGTATTCCATGTGGACCAACAGATTTATTTCACCTAAATTTTGCGCTCCTTTTTCTAATAATTCCTGTATTGACTCGACAGTTTTCTATTATGGTTGTTGTTTCAGGTATTCCTGGGGTTTCATCCTTCGGCTTGAAAACTGATCACAATGTCTATTTAAACAAGTCGCCTTTTCACTGTCATCTATAATTAATGAACCATCTGTACCGCAGAGCAATGTTCCCTTTCTCATGTCTCGCATACGTGAAGAAATTTTGCCAACAGTTCAATCGATTGTTTAAAACCGATTGCTGGTAATTTTCTTGGGTAACTTTAATGCTAGTAAGCCTTTAGATAATTGTAGAAAATTATTTTTCTGCTCCTTATTTATATTACGTTCACTAAATGCTTTCTGAACCTGCCTTTTCGGTCACTTCACTCCTTTGTTGAACACAGGATCTGAATGGAACTGTAGTTTCTTGGTAGGTATGAATTTTTGCTAAACATTCTGAAATGAATGTTCCCTCATAGACAGAGTGTGGATTGAACCTCTTAATTGTTGTTGTGTCAACAATTCCTAGATCTTACTGGGACTTTATTGAGACAGTTCATCCTTACATACTCGTTCTCGGCTACTTTCAACACAAGTTGAATACCGGGTCGCAGGCTCTTGCTAATCTTCAGTTTTCATGTTGTTGTTGTTTTTTTCCGCTTCTTGACCTCTATATACCGTGGCATATTTACCTGCATCATATCATATTACTATTACAATGAGGATAAATAAATTAATATTGTTCTTCTGAATCAAGATATATTTTTCAAATTTTACTTTAAAAAAGTTTAAAAAAAGGAACAAAAATAAAATTAATAGGTCTTCTTAATTAATAAGTATTCTTGTGACCTGCACAAATTGTAGAGACTGTGTGACTGGCACCTAATTTAACCCTTTCAGTCACTGTTTATATTATAATGTACACCCACAAGCAGAGAATCATCCCAACTGGTTTTGTCACTTTTGTTAATTCAAATATGGACCGTTTCATTTTAAAAAGATTAGTCAAATTTTGTAATTTAAAAACACTCAGTCCAGTTTTGCATTCTAAAATGACCCAATGAATCTTCCATTCTAAGATGTCCTAGTTGAAGCTTTAATTTCTAAAAAAACCTAGGCAAACTTTTCATTAAACAAGAACAGAGTTAAAGTAATGCAACATTTAAATAAGTCAGACTTATTATTTCTTTAACATTGAATTTGTAATTTTCAAAAGGATTTTAATTAGAATTTATAAATATATATTTATACATATGAAATATATTTATTTCACAGCATGGAAAATTTTAAAATATGGAAAACATAGTATTTGCCATTTCATTTCTTGATTACCTACTTTTTCAAATTCATTAGTAAGGCTTGGAGTAGCCTAGGCCTTGTACATCTAAAGATATTACTTGATTTGTTGTATATATGTTGTATTTATCCATTTAATTATATAAAATATAATTAATACCAATCTTTTATAATTAAAACTAATTAAAATTATTACGTAATTTCAAAGATAAGATGCAAACTTGGCTCAAGAGTTCGAGATGTTGTGAAAATTTGCCAATGACTTTTGTGCAGCGAATATAGTGTCATTAAAAATCACACCAAGAGCATTACAGACTATGTAAGACAACTTTATCTTGCTTATTTGGCATGAAACTCAGAGACTAGGCAAATCTTGGGATCCTCATACAGATTGTGTGCATTCTCTCAATGATCTACACTTCTGGCTCCAAGGAAAGAAGACTGCTTTCTGATTTGGAATTCCTATGACATGAAGCGAGCTGAAGAAACACTCTGTGATGAAACTGATGATGTGAACAAACTGATGATAGTTACTTTTGTTTCTGTCAGGTCCGCAGGAATAATTGCGAAAACTACAAGGTAATATCTTATTGTGATAACTAGGGGTGGATTTTAATGAAAAGTCGTTTTTTTTTTCTTTTCGCTTTACAATGCCGTTCAGTGTAGAAATTCATTTTGTTGTTCATTTTGTTTGTTTTGTTCAAAGAAAATTACGCGTTTCTTTGTCTTTTTTGCATTTTTTGTCGATTTTGACTAATAAGTAATTTTTTTGTTTTTCAGTCATTTTTAATGAATTTTTGCTGACTTCATTGATTTTAATAACATTATTTCTCTTGTCTCAAATAATATTTATGAGATGTAACAAACGTTTACAACAGAATTCCTGAGAAGTCTATTCGATTTCTTCACTCAGAAATTGTACAGTCAGCCAGACTTGGAACATTCATTCAGAAGTTCAAGACTCTGATACCAAATATAAGTTGTCCTGATATTTCTCAATTCAAGAGAAAATTCAATATCATCTGTGATAAAGATGACTGTAGGCTGTTCAATGAAAAGAAGCCTTAAAGCTGTCTGGCTTGATCACCAAAGCCAATATGCATCTGTATTACTTGGACACTCAGTGCATTTAAAGTACACAATGGAAAAAAAAAAAAAAAAAAAAAAAAAAAAAAAAAAAAAAAAAAAAAAAAAAAAAAAAAAAAGAAAAGAAGAAGAAGAAGAAGAAGAAGAAGAAGAAGAAGAAGAAAAAAAAGAAAGAGCCAAGCATAGTAGGGCCATTTGCAAATGAATTGAAAGTTATCTCCATGTGTCTGGGTCAACAAGGCAAATACATTAAGTTCCAAAGTTAAATTTTTACAAATGTAACTTGGGAACTTAATGTATTTGCCTAAGTGGGACAGTTATGATATGGCACAACTTTGGGTTAAAGAAAAGAATGCTAGAAAAGACAATCGTGAACCAGACACCAATATTGTGATTTGAAACAGCTTTGTTGAGCCAAAAAAAGTATTGTTATTCCCTCTGTATATGAAATTAGATGTTATAAAATAGTTTGACAAGGCTTTTCCAATAGGCAGCAATTGTTTTAAATACCTCTACACGAAATTAACAGATTTCTCTGATGCCAAGTTGGAAGAGGGAATCTTTTTTAGTTCATATTTCTGCAAGTCTATGAAGGATAAAGAATTTAAAACTAGCAAGATAACAAAGGAAAAAGAAGTTTGGGTTGCCTTCCAAGATGTGACCAGTAAATTTTGGGCAATTACAAGAATCAGGATTAAAGCAATTGTTATGAATATGCTAAACGAATTTCACGTGCTACTCCACGAGTGTAAAACTACATTTCCTTCATTCACACACAGACTTTTGCCCATAAAATTTAGGATCAGGTAATGAAAAACAGGATGCAAGGTTCCACCAACACTTGGAAGATATGGAGCACAAACATCAAAAACAGCACAAACATCAACTTGCCTCACCAAGAATCAATTGCTATACACATACTTGGACAAACACCACTGTTGCCGGATAGTACATGCAAATTGTTCATGAGAATTCCTTTTTAATAGGATTTTTGCCAAAATATCAATATCGATTTTACAAAAATGGATGTGGTGGAAGAAAACCAGGAGCATTTTTGACACGAAAAATCAGTCAAAACTTCTCCTGTAGTAATCAAAAACTTCAATTTTACAAGCCTATGTTTTTGGACTTTTTTTGTCGAGCTACGAATTGAGTTTAACATAGTGTGTTGGCATTGCATTAAGCCAGGGTAATCAGTTTAACAGCTCAAATGGAAACCACTTTCATTTAACCACCACACTTAAAACTCAGAAACAACTAAACCACGATTTTTCCTACTCACCAGGCCTCTCCTCACATTCTTCAACAGCATCGGAAACATCTTCCCTGCACGTTGCAAAAGAGTCCTGCAACATGACAAACCAAAAATCCACAGATACAATTCAGAAGTTCCAATACCTATTACAATAACACAATTTTCCTAATTTGGTAATTAACAATGAAGAAATAAGTCACAGGAAGAAAAACTCAGATCTCATAACAATGAGATTATAAGATTTCTCTATTTTACTGCAATACCTCTCCCACATACAAAGCACAAAGTTTAATAAAATATTCACAAATTGGCATCTGTAGTCCTCACCTCATGTTCTTCTGTAATCTCTTTTTTCACCTTACGAAATACTGTGGCTGGTGGCTCAAGCTCCTAAACATCAAAGAAATAAATCATAAAATATCTGCTTTTGTGTAATAAACTTAAGTTAGAGCAAGTTTACTAATAAAAAGCCTATTCATCAGAAAGAAAACTTCACTCTCAGGCATTTAAAACTAAACTAGAAAAGACGAAAGCAACGTGAAAAGCTAACCTTATTTTCTCCTTTCTCCATCTCTTTCTTAGAGTAGCTTTGTTCATTAATCTCCTGTGACTGGAAACAACAAAGTACCTCAGAATTAATACAACCAGCATTAGGTAGACAAAAGACAAAAACTTAACAGGTTTTACACCACTTTCAAATTATAGTCTTCCAAATTAATTCACTAGTAATGTGTGAAAAAATTGTTTGGTAAAATAAATAACAAAAATAATGGAAATTTTCCTCACAAGTGTTGTAAACTTATCCAGTAAAAGGGAATGGATGTAAAAATCTTACCTCATCATCTTTTTCCTTCTTCACTTCTCTCTTCAGGGCAATTAGTTCACGAGCTTCCTGTGAAAGAAAGCAGAAGAGCAACTCACAATTCAGATGTCCCATCACATTTAACTAATTACCAGGTATAAGACCTTACAAATATCTCTTAATCCTACAAATTAGAGAGAAACATTTTCCCTACTTAATATTGGTTCTGCCAAATCTTCAAACACACAGCATAATATTCACTTGTATATTTCATATTATTAAAAGTTGCGTATTTTCAGCAGTAGCATAACAAGTTGATTTTACTTTGAAAATACCTAGATTGTGTCATTAACTTGAGTCTTTCTTGCATATGGAAAACAATTTTTCTTTTTATTAATTCTTGTTATATTAATTGTGTTATTCAATTTCATATTTTTTATGCCAGTGATTTGAATAAAATAAAATTGCCATTTGTTACTATTCTATATTGCGTAAGCCGAAGAGCAATCACTTGACAAATATGCATTTTCACAAACATACTAACTTTTTTCCTTCAATTTTTTTATATTAACTTCAACAGCTATGGTTTTTGTACATGGTTACAATACAAGGATTCTATTGGATACAAGGTGGTTTTAGTACATTTATTTATTTATTTATTTATTTATTTATTTAATAATTAACTAGTAGTTAGCTATTCATCAGTTTGTCATGTCATATATCCCTCCATAACAGAAAACTTGTAGTAACTTCCAACGGTTTTCATATTTCCCTCGTGTCCACGATCCTCTCTATACAGCTACGTTATACAGTGAATATCAAGCTCACTATTGAAGGCAATAACGTGCAATATGTATCAATAAAAATGCAAGCAGTATTAGAGTTTGTTAATGATATCAGTTTATTTATAAAATGTTAAACTTTTTTGATGTGCAATGCTTGAATGAAGCAATGCATCTATATTAAAGATCTGTAAGATTGATTGGCAGACTAGTAATAGTATTTGGGAATTGAAAATCAATATTCTTCATTATTTGAAGTGACTTAGTCTTACAAACCGTTAAAAGAATGTAATGGGTCATTGTTGTAAATTCCCTATAATAAAAACCAAATTCTGAGAAAACCCCTTTCATCCCATGATTTGTTTATTTGAACAATGCTAGTGACAAAACATTACATAGAACATATTACAAAATTACTATATTCATATATTGATCTGACTTAATTTGATGCCTAGTAACATTGACAGGATTTTTTATTTATAAAGTAATAATTTAAATGAAACTCATAACAAAGTAGACAATTTTTTCTCAAAAGCAGCTCCAAATTTGTTCTTTAATCGTATGGCTCAAAAACATGGCAGTTTTCTTATAAATAATGTTAAATTTACCTTCTAGAAAGTTTCACAAGCATTTTCACCTACATCAAAAGTCATCAGTTTCCTAACCAATTTACATCTATGTTTGAAAGAATGTAGAATGCTCTTTAAAATGTTTCCAAATTTTAATATCTCTGTAGGCCAATGATGCCAAATAAATATCAATTTACAATATACGTATTCAGTAGAGAGAAATCGGTTAAAGTTTAGTATACGGTACACCCTTAAAAAAGTGTGGCAGCAGGGCTTAAGCCCTAATTACTGTACGTGCTCTAATAGAAATGAGTTAAACTTACAAATAGCAGATTTTCATGGTTCGCCCTTTATATGCTTTGTCCCCGTCGCATTGTAATGCCAATTTACTTTCAAAGGCAAGTTTTCTCACTTCGCTCGTCCGGAACCAAGTCATGGCGAGACTCAGGCCTCTGGCCCTCGCGTTCACTATAAACATTCTTGAGTCTATCCAACGCATAATTACCAATTCACTTTTATAAAAAATCACTTTTCAAGAAAGCCTCCAGAATTCTAACTGCCTAGTTAACGCCGGAGTGCTGGTTTAAACGACTTTCTGAGGTTGTACCGTATACTACATTTCTGCCGAGAAATCAAGTAAATGCAACTCACAATTGATCCAGGTTCATCCAAGAAATCTTCAGGCTCTTGTTTAATCTGCAGACAAGAAAAATAAGGCATTCAAGAACATTTCCATGATACACACTGCATTTATTATTTCCTTACTAGACTAGTAATACATGTCTAGACTAGACATGAATTAAAGTAACTTGGATTTCCTTCAGTTTAATTCCAGAATACTAACCATACTCTACACCCATAAACTAACCATAAGTAAAATTTGCTCTAAGTTTTTTACTGATGTTTAAAATCTAAGGCCAACAATTGGGCATTATCTATAATGTTTATATGGTTTCTAGTTTGTTTGTAAGAGATATTAGGGTGAAATCTAATTCCTACATCATTTTATGCAGAATTTATTTATCCTAATAGCAGATTACGGAATGACATTCAGAAAGAAGGAACTTTGAGTAGACAAAATGCAATCTCAGAGAAATCGTGTAAAGAAAGAGAAGACAGTTTCTATCAATGTTCATAGCAAACTGACTTCTTACAAGAAGGGGCATATGCAATTGCGTATCACTCTTTTATGGTGTTTTCTTCTTTTTTTATATTTATTTATTTGTTTTATTCATAAACATACCATACATAACATGCATTTACTTATGAAAAGTTGAGGACTAGGGGAGAATGCATATGGGTCAACAACCTATTTTTCTTCCACAATTCACATGTAGGCACATTTGATCTAAAAAATCTACTGAAACTTTGATTTACAGGATTAGACTCTTCTTGAAAAATGGTTCAACAGAAGATTCATCATGATAATGGACACAAGAAAAACAATTTAGTTGTTGAAACTTTTGAAACAGTTGAACACTTGAAATTTTCTAAGAAACACCCTGCAATACTAAAGATGGATTAAATTTACCCTGAATCTCACTATATGACATTTGACACAGTGACCATATGACTTGATCTCATACATTTTTCCCAACAAGGCGTTTCTTCAACTAACTTAAAATTACACTGCTAATGAGAGGATCCTCTACGGCGGAGATGGTCAGCCTACAAAACAATGAGGTTAAGGAGTGAGGAAAATTTACTCATAGTATTCTAGAATACAAACGGCGTTAAGACTTACCTCGTCAATTGTGAGCAGACTTTCTGCTATTACGCTTATTGCGTCCATTTCAAACACTTTTCCCTCAGCTAAACACAAATCACATAAGTCTGAGCAAGTCCTGAATTAGTTTTTCAAGTAATAGAATGTACAGAAAAAGTATTTAAGACAAGAGACAAATAATTTCAGTTTCCCACAGGAAAAAATTCCTGGAAAAATATTTCCTCCCATTCACGAATATGGGCTCGGACTCCATCATGGTTATTGTGTATAAAGAAGCGTCACTTTCAAACATTCCAGGAACTGACCGAAATATAAAGTCAATATTAAATTATGTAAATGATGTAAAGCGACCACGACTGTAGCGTACCGAATGACAGGAGAACAAACTAAGAGTTGAAGCGGGCGATTTGAAGTTCAATTTCATATACCTTTCATTCAATAATATTATAATTTATTGTGAAATTCACAAATTGAAATTGGAAAGTAAAGGAAGATTATAGGGAAAGGGATATAAAATGGAAAAAATATTGGTGGAATTTAAAACTTTACATTAATTGGAATGTACGATTAATAGTATCGGCGATAAATATTAATAATAAATAGTGGAAAACAAGTGAAGCTACAACATGTACTTTCTCGCATTTAGTAATAGTTACGTAGCATTATAATTCTGCAACTTCTGTTTATGTTAACATATCTCTTGTCATAACTTGTAAAACTCATTACAAAATCACAGAACATTAAGTGCGAAAAGTCATTCTTTTGAAGCTAATATATCAACACAAATTCGACAATTCAAACTGCGCTTCATACAGTTCTAAGATCTCCCAACAAAAAAGAAATTCTCAGAAATAAAACTGTGTCACGATGGACATAGCATTGTTGATCCTTATAGAAATATATACCGTACAAAAATCCTTTTTATATTGCTCGTTGGTCGGCATTACTGCCGTTCAAGATTGTTGATACATGGATAATTCACTTTAGTGATAATCATCCTGACGGCTAAACCAATCCACTTTCATTTGGTGATGTTAATTTCAAGAGATACATACATTAAAAATTTGATTCAACTGTTGTAGGGTTGTAATATCTGTAGAATTTGTCTGAAAGCGGCTCCACACATACGGCATTCGCCGAGCAGTGAGCCACTAACTGCTCGCCCAATCCCGAACAACAATAATAAATTATAATAAATAATAATAATAATCATAATAATAATAATAATAATAGAGTCACATATACAATTCCAATCGTGTATGACTAGTCGATATGTCTTGGGTGGAGAGAGCGAAGTTACATTACTGTTCAGGAGCAAACAAGGGGCCATCTCAGCATTTGCTCAAGGGATCAGGAAAACTGAACAAAACCTGATCGAGATGGCCATTGGCCAAGAAATTATACTACAATACTTGTTACAGATAGATTAGGATATTATACAGTAGATAATTATTTTAGTAGCAGATAATTTAACATTTCAAGATGTTATTTTAATGCTACTACTTATAATAATAATATTATTAGAACAATACATATCAATTTGTTAGCAACAACATAAAATTTAACAATATTAGTACATTCTATATTTAAAACTTAAAATGGTGAGGAGGCAAGTTTTACCAGTTTTTTTTCTTTTTCTTTTTTCTTCTGTCATTATGTACACATAGACCAGAGAGAAACAGTTTTTTTTTATTATTATTTTTTTTTTGGCATTCTCCTTCTACTTACAGGAGGCGATATGCCAGTTCTGAAGTGTTAGGCGAATATTCGCTCTCTTTGATGCTCCGCTCAAGACCAACACGCGGTGGGTAGGGCGAATACCGAATGTTCGACGCTGGGCGAATCGCAAACAACCCGTCCACACTACTCGGGATTCGCCGAATGCCGCATGTTGGGTTTTAGAAGAGATTGTAAAAATCTTTCGTGTATCGTGAAATTATTCTGTACGGCGTTTTTATGTCTGACCTAGTTGGCAAGTTTTGGTGGCAGGTGCGTCGGGTAATGCTTCGTAGAAGTTTTTGGACGTTTTTAATATGTAGTCGTGGATGAGTTCTATATTTTGCTCTCTGTGCAATTGTTGATAACTAATGAACCATGGGGCTTCTGTAATTTTTCTAAGACTTATTTTGGATTATTTCTAACTTTTTAATATGACCGTGTGCTGCTTTTGCCTACTCGGGGCATGCGTAAGTTAGCGATGATATTATTGATTTGTACACGGTTTTTCCACATTCTATCCTGAGAAAATTTGTATATGGGATAGAATTTAAATACTTTTGCTCGTGATTTGTGAGTAGTGTCGATGATGTGTACTTTTCATGTTAATTTTGTATCTAATGTAAGTCCCAGATATTTGATTGGTGTTTGGTTTGGAAGCCACTGAACGGGAATATTTTGGATGCGTAATATGGGTGGCAATTTAAGTTTGCGAAGGGAGAAATTTTGGAGAGTCGTGGGCGATTAGTTTTTTTGTGTGAAGTGAAGAGAGATGTGTCGTCTGCGACACATATATTGGAGACGATAGATAAAGTAATATCACATAGAAAACTGTTGAAGAGAAGAGGGAGAGACACAAACCTTACGGAATTCCTGCTTCTAATGTATATTGTCTGGAAGATGTGCTGTTTACTTTGAATTTAAAGTTCATGATAGATAAGTTTTTATTTATCTATTTCTTTATTTATTCACCCGTTATTTATATATTTACGCCAAAAACAGTTAAAAACTATGTGACGTACTATGGAAAGAATTAAATTTGAAGTTACATTTACGTCCAGAAGCAAAATAAAAGATCATCTCAAGGATCAGGGAAACTGGACGAAATCCTGATCGAGATGGAGTCATTTATCCAGGAGCTGAAGTACAAAACTTGTTACAGGTTCTTTAATATTATACAATCAAAATAGTAAATAATACATTAAAAGTGATTGTTAAAATAAATATTACTTTCCTTTTGGATGCTAGGTATAGTCTCTAATTGTATAGAAACAGTTGTGCAGCAGAAAAGATTTTACTTGAGACTAACTTTTGCATCGAATTTAATCGTTATCTGACAAGGTGTTGTAAAATAATGTGCATTATATATGAATTTTTTTTAGTGAGCTGTTGATAGTCACGTGCTGATAATGATTACTATGTCGAGTATTGTAGTTATAGTCAATGGCGTTTGCTGAAAATATCGTCCCGTCCTTAATCGAGTCATTTTTGACAAAACAACAACAGAGATTCATATATGAAGAGACAAGGTAATGGTAAAATACCTAGATTAATAAAGGTGGGCTTACAAGAATCACGTGGGTGGAATTTTCTGATTATTCGTACAATTCTTTTTTTGTAATCTAAAAGTCTGGGAGCTTTTCCCAGAATATTATGCCATATCTCAGACGAGAATGAACATTCGCAAATGTACACAACGAACAGTATGAAGGCTGACAATTTGAGAGAATTCTGAAAACGTAGCATAATGAACTTCATTTAGTGTTCAATTCATTTAAATGGACGTTCCATTTAAGGTTTGACTGAATCAAAAGACATAAAAATTTTACCTGAACATTAGTCAATGGCATACTATTCATTCTCAATGGAATGCAGAGCAGTTTATTTGAAATGGAAAACTGCTTTGACACAGTTTCCTTTTCGTTTACTATTAATTTGTTATGACGGACCCAATTTGAAATATATGTTATTGTACTATTTACGGTTTCTTTATCGGAAAGAATACTCGTATCATCCTCAAACATAACTGTTCTTCCGTTTCTAATCTTTGAGGGCATGTCGTTTACGTACAGTAGGAAGAGAATAGAGCCTCAAATCGATCCCTGCGGGACTCCACATGCAACTGACAAAGAATCAGGAAGGTGCGTACATTGTGTTCCATTATTCCAGTAAGGTATTTCTACCGTACGAGATCATTGTTTAAGACCAAGGTTATATGATAAATGACTTTAAAAGCTATTGAAAGATTTAAAAATATTCCAATAGGTGCTTCGTCTTAAATCACATATCTTGTGATAATCCATAATATGGTAAAGGAAATAATCGACCACAAAAGGTTTAATATTTTTATTAATTATTACCCAAAGTTAATTTTTGGGAAACACTTTTCCCATCCTCAGTGGGTCTCCAGCAAGGAGGAGAAAATTGAAGCATTAACACAAGTTGACCAAAAGAAATACAGTGAATTTAGTGGAAAAAGCAAACGAATAATATCAAATAAATAACATTGAAAATACTGCCCAAGCAATGTGGATCGCTCATAAATGTTCACATGGTCAAAAAATATGAAAACTGCAAAACATGCTGGGTCCAGCTATGTGGCAGTCATTTTTTGGAATGGGAGAAGAAGAAACCTATCAATTGTGAGAGGGGGGTAGAAAATTAGAAAGGGTAGTCATAAACATTTAAAATTCACTGCTTTTCATACAGGAATGTAAAACAGGACAGAAAATTAGAAATTTGCAACATTATAGAATTTTAAATTATATAAAAAACATTTTAAACAAGTTGCCTAGATAGAGAGATTGCGAAAAGGGAAAAAAGGTCAAAAGAATGATTAGGGGCTAATTTAATAAAGTATTTAAAATGGGACATTCAAGAAAAAAAATTAGTGTTTTTAAAAAGTTTTAGAATTTCCAAGTTCTCCAAAATGTCCATTTTTGTGCCTTTGTTGACTAAGTGAAAGATTTTAAAATTATAATTAGTGTCAAAGGAATGGTTAAATTTAATCAAATGATTGGCAAAGGTAGAAGTGTCTAAATTTTGTTTAGTACACACTATCTTTATGGATATCGGAATTTACCTCACATATATTAACTGATAATCTTTAAGGTTCCAGGTAAAACTGAGATTAACTCTTTCCTTTGCACTAGTGTCTGCCAACTGATGGCTTCCGGTTCGAATGTCCGTGATAGACGAAAACGTAGGGTGGCGTTCGTGCGCTCAATGGTTGATGTAGTACGAAGCGAAGGGCTCGACTCGCACTTCTCGCAGCTCAAGTTCCATCTGTCGTCGGGGTTCAGCACTCGGGTAGGCTCAGTCCGTCGCGAACGGGTCTTTTGACTCACGTGGATCGCGAGCGGCAGCAGCTATTGTCTGTGCGATTGCAAATCCTCGCGGACCTAAACCAACTAGCGATTTCTCGAATCGACGAGGCGCACTATTTTCTGCTATCTGATCAATGTCGCAAGAGAGACGATACAGCAATATCGCGCCTTACTTAAAGGTCTTCCTTTTATGTGTGCCCGTGGTTTCGTCACCCTGTGCTCTCTTTCGGGTTGTTACGCTGATCAGTCGGCACTCCCCTTCCTAAGTATTTGCCTGCTCGATGTTTTTCGGCACCAAAAGTTGCGCGGGAAAATCGCCGAAATTGACTCCGATGTGAATTGTTCTAACAAAACGAGTTTGGTGCATCACAAGGGCTAGTCTAACACCCTGTGAAGCACCCAAAACCCTACCCTTATCCTAATTCCTTCCCAATTCTGTGCGCTGGGTATTGACGCAGGAGCGCGTGGTAGGAGGCGCGTACGCGGAGATGCTACCTGGTGGTCTTCTTGACTACTGACACTTGACAAGACGTGACATAATGACTTCCAGGGAGGGGGACGCGTACTAATTAATGGAAGATTACTCCCAAGCGCAAATCGTTCAACGTCCCCAAAGAGGTTTGGAGACGCGTTGCGCCAATGCACATGTCAAACAGAACAGTTGAAGAATACCAGATCCATCATACTGTAACAAGGGAACTTTTAACAGTATCATGGATCTGGTATGCTGCAACTGTTCTTTTTTTCGTGCAGACGCAACAATATTAAAAAAAGACTAATCATCCCGCGCTCGAGTTGTCCTGGAACTTTCTGGAAGCCTGGTGATGTCATTGGGGAAGAGAGACGTTCTGTCCAAAATTATCCATGGTATGCAGCTGCAAGCTTTAGGGGGAGGAGGAGGCAGAGGGCGGAACGGGTGCCAAGTGTTTAGAGATCAGTGTGCCGGGTAACTAAGGCCTATTGAGGTCGCATCGCAAAAGCGAGTGATGGAGATATCTGAGGGCGAGACCAGAGGGTATTCAGCGAGGGTCGGCTGCGACCTAGACAGACTGCATTGTAAGCATTAAGGTCCCACCTAGTGTGTGTGTGTGCACAGCGCACAGCTACACGCTGCTGGGCGCAAACGGGTGTCAAAGAGGTTAGAGATAAGTCCGCCAGACAAGATCTATCGGGTGGTGAAACTGAATTGAACTGATGCCTTACTTTACGTGGCGAGTGATAGACGGGGTGTTCTGAGGAATGAGGACAGAAAGTGTTCTAAGTCGGCTGCCATTTTGGTCGGGGTGCCTTGTATATTTTTATGGTTTTATGGCGTTTTGAGGACTGAACAAAGCAAGGAAAGCACCGTCAAATAAATACGGTTGGGTGAACGCTGGTCCCGGCGAAGTTTGGAGAAAGCACAATTTGTTGCAAATTGGTTTCCCTGAACTTTAGGGAACATTTCATTAGGCGAAATAAAAATTACTTTATATAAATTTAATAAACTTACATAATTATGGTATTTATTTTTTATTCAATAAAAACGTACCATTAACAATAGAAACCATTAAATTGGTAATACTACCTTTCAAAGCACCGTGGTCAGACACAAGTCTGACCACAGATAATTTTTAAGGTTGCATTTTTCATTTGACCATAACACTCAACATCATTTCACATTCACACACGTCAATAACTCTCTTCTTCAATAGAATTGTTCACCGAGTTGACATTCATACCTTGTCCAATTTTCACGAAAATATAATATTCTCAACCGCGCTAGTAGGTGACAACGAACAAAATATGGCAAGAGAGTTCATCGGGATCACTCTCTTAAGTTGGCTATTCTGCCAGCAAAAGTTCAAGCCGCCATATTGCGAATCTAGCGTTGCCAACAGTTTAGAGCGAGTATCGCGTGATTAGTGCTCGGCAAGTAGCAAACAACCCGTATTCACCACTCGAGATTTCTTGAGCGGCTGTTCACTGCTCGCCAAATGCAGGATGTAGGGAGCTGCCGGAACGTTACATTCACGCCAATGGAGCATCCGTTTCTCTCAAAACGTCCATTTTTGTTTTTATAAATTCTATCTTAACCTCAGTGAGTTTTCTGTTTGGCACTTTTCAAGCTATTTTTTCACCTTGGCTTATCTGGTAGATGGGCTCTTCGAGATAGCTTTCCCTAAGTGCACTTGCAAGTGGCCTAATAACGGATGTCCACATTCCAAAATTCATCTCCCACACGGAAGAGTTATTTAATACGTTCAATGCACGAATCTTCAAGTGCTTAAATAACACTCTTTTAAAGAAATCCCGTGGAGAGAGTATTCAAATGCCATTGTCCGGAATGGTCCTTCACGCACCCAATTTAACAAAATCTTAATAAGACCTAGATCGCATTCATATGGAATTGTGTGTAGATCCGCATGTCATTAATTAAATGAGTCGTTTGCGAAATGTCAGACAACATTCGAGGATTATTTTTGCGTAATGAGTACGCAAGTGCCTAGCTAAACGTCCCTTTGAAAAAAAAAATTGTGGCAAGCGAATCATGCAAACCATCTGTGTGGATTCGCATGTGGTTAACATGTTGCAAAAACTAACTTCCGAGACGCGAACCATTCCAGTTATCTTTCACTACTTTCAGTAATTAAATTTTCCCTTTCAGAGAAACTCCTCTGGCAGACCGATAATTCAAAAGGGCTATCCCTTCCACGAGTTCGCAAATGCCTGATTAAACTTCCTCTTTCCGAGAAACCCTTCTGGCAGGTAGAACATTTAAACGGTTTTTCACCCGTGTGGGTTCGCATGTGCTTGTTGAGAGTCTGTTTCAACGAGAAACTCATCAGACAGATGGCACACTCAAAGGGTCTTTCTCCCGTGTGGATGCGCATGTGTATTTTCACAGCATCCCTGGTTACGAAACGCTTTCGGCAGACCGGACAGTCGAACGGTCTTTCACCGGTGTGGGTGCGCATGTGCTTCAGTAAGTAAGCTTTGCAAACGAAGCTTTTCTCGCAGAGCGCGCAATCGTGCCGGCTTCCTCCCGTGCGAGCGACGCTCCGCGGTGGTGCCGCCTGCGTCTTGCTGGAAGGGCCGGGACCTCCGGCGCGTTCTGCACCTGAAGACAGGGCATCAGAACACATCTCGTTAGAAAAACAACTTTTCTCAAAGCACCTGGATAGACAATGCGTGGTATGAATAAAAGTAAGCAAGTACTCTTTGCTCCGAGTTTCGGAGATCCTACTCAGTTTCGTATGAATAAAGTTGGTGAGCCGTTGCTCAGTCCCTGAACACTTGCTCCATCTCCGAGCGTACTCTCAACTGGCGAGCAAATGCTCAGAATTGGTATGAATTAAGTTAAGCGTTAACTCTCTAGAGAGAGCACTTGCTCCAAAATTACGGAGGGACCTTAGTATGGCAGACTCACGTTTGAAAAGTAAGGTTAAATTGGCCGATTTTTTTGACCGTGTGTTGATATGCAGATGCAGCTGTCTACAAACAATTCAAGACAAGGCGAAATTCTCGTGATATAGACTATTAGAATCTTTGCCGAAAAGGACAATGTATGGTTGGTACGATTTTTATCACGTTTGCTTTCAGGAGCATTTTCATATTGCATAACTTCTATCTTAATTGGCAATCGCTCTTTTCTACTTGGAATTTTTCGGGGTACTGTTTTTCAAACTTAGTAACGTTTCGTTTCGGCCACAGCGTACCTCCGAAAGCTGGCTCTTTTCAAAAATAATTTTATATTCGCTTAGCAATTCAGCAAAAACAAGCTGGGCCTCTGGCGCCTGTTTTTCGTTACTGCTACTCATATTCGAATTGAAAGAACGAGACAACAAAACATTGCTCTTTATTTCGCACAAATGCGCGCGACGCGTGTAACATAACCTCTTTGTTGCTCAAGAAACTAACTTTTAAAACTCAGCCTGCACTATCACTTGTTCACGACGAGCAAATGCTCGCGTGAACATGAGTAAGTTCTTCGGAGACATACGAAGTTTTCATTCATACGAAATGAAGCTTCTGCTCAGTGCTGCAGAGTACTCACTTTGCTCCGGAGCAAGTGCTCATTTTTATTCATATGACCCTATGTTTGGAGGATGTTGAATGGATAAATAGGTGCCATTTAGTAGCTCAAGTAGATCCCTTATAGGTCTCTTTTCTCCTCTATAGATTTCCTTTCTGAGCAAGATATGGCAGAAATCGACATCTCAATAATTAGATCTATTTGGCAAAAGTTGAATGTTCCACAATAATTGATTCACGAGTGATCCCCAATATAACTAGGATAATATGGCGAGATTTAGCATGCATTTGTAGTCATGTGAACATGAATTATTTATCCCTCTTTACAATAATAAAGGGATACAACGGTCCTTTTAAAAATCTTATCACCCAATCTTTAAAATTTCAGCGGAACCGTGAACTTCTAATACCTTTATAGTAATACACTGTACTTATAATCTCAGTTAAATAGTGATGTATAAACTATCAATCCTTCGCAACCTGCTTTTCATTAATTGAAATCTGTGAGAGGTAAATCAATTACGGACTCTGAGAGAGAAGCACAGAATATGTTTAAACGTCAGGTTACAAATTAACGCCGAGTGATTTATGCCAACAAAAGATGAAAGGATGGAGTAAATAATGTCCGACTCAATTGTCGATGGTTAACCAGAAGAGGCAATTAAGGGGAAGTACGTGAAGTGACACAACCAGTTATTTATATACATATAAGAATTATATTTTATATGTACTTTCCTGATCACTTACAATTTGTCGTATTTGCCGGTGTATAAGACGCACATTCTTTCCCTTCATAAACTCGTCAAAAAACAGGATGAGTCTTATACAACAGATGGTAATTTTTGTAACTGTTTGAATGTTTGGTATATAGCATTACAAAAACCTAATTTTTGTACACTGAAAAACAGGAATTTGTATTTCTACAGAATTGATTATTACAGAAGTTAAAAGTATTGCAAGAAGAAAGAATGCAGAAAATTCGTTAGTTCAAAGACATGGTGTTTATTTATGAATATGAATAAAAGATCATTGGTTTACACAGGTCACAATTCCCAATTCTTTCATAAAAATAAAAATCAAGTATAAAACTTAACATTAAATAATGAAATCATTCTTGAAAATAGTGGTGCGTCTTATACGCAGGCAAATACAGTATGTTTTAATAGAAACGAGTATATTTTCGAATGGCACGTATTACTGGGCAGTGAAAACTAAAGCTCTTGGCTCAGAGCGAAGTCGCTCGCCTTTCGCCAAGGAGATCCGGGTTCGATTCCCGGACGAACTCATCTGAAACGTGTTCCAATAAAACGAGTTTGCTTGCTTCACAGGTTCACTTGCCAGTGAAGCGCCCTAAACCATACCCCTCTCGTAGTCATTCCCTATTCTGGCCGCTGGGTAGTGTCGCAGAAGCGCGTGGTAAGAGGCGCATAAGCGGAGACGCTACCTGGTGGTCCTCTTGACAGCGACGAGACTAGATAGTAGACAAAAATAATAAATGTTAACGTAAGATTACTCCTTAACGTTAAAGGAGAATTACTCCACTTCTTAAAGTAGTCAATGCTACGGCTTGGAGACGGGTTATGGCATTACTGGTTTTAGGTACCTCCTGCATAACATACTGAAATTACAGACGAACAGGAAGTGAGCCGGGGGCGGGGCCGCGCCGGGCGTGGCGTGGGGGCGGTTTTTTGAAGTTCCTTTTTGCATATATCTCCATTACTATCAATACCACAGAAAATTATGTTCTATACAATATAATAACGAAATATAATAATAATAATAATAATGAAAAATAATCAGGATATTTTGAACGCTAGTAACAAACAAACCAACAAAAAAAAAATCGACCAAATCCACTAGAAACTTTGCAAAGAATGTTTTAAAAGATAACTATAAAATGTGAACGACCCGGCCACAGTGGCTAATCTCTTTAACCAATAATTTTCAAGAATTGCTACCGATCTCGCTAAGGGCCTACAGCCACAAAATTCAACATCAGAGGTTTCCCCAAAAATTTTAGACACGATGTTTCGTTTCCAAAACTTCTTCCTATGAAATTCTCAAAATAATTGGTAGACCAAAAAATAAATATTCTGCCTATTTAGACCGTTTTCTCGATTGTTTGTTAAAGACTTGTACGCTCACCATTATACACCCGTTAACTCATATATTTAATGAATACAATACATAATGAATTTTGTATGTTTTATTGTATTAATGCACAGAAAGTTTTCCAGATTTCAAAGAAAAAACTGCTTAAGGCTCTTTTCAAAAAAACACGAAAATGACATTCGAAATTATCGGCCAATTTCTCTTTTGTCAGATATTTTTTTAGAAATACTAGAGACTACGTTCGAATGGAAAGCTTTCTTAGTAAACATCTTGCGTTTTCACATTGCCCATGGGTTTCGAATATAAAAAAATCAACAGAAACAGCCACATTTTCTTTTCTTAAAGATGTCGCCTCATACACGGATCAAAACGATGCACTTATTGAAATATTTTTAGATGTTTCAAAAGCTTTAGGCGGCATTGATCATAACATTTTACTTTCAAAATTACCTTCGTATGGAATTCGTGATATTGCTCTAGATTGATTACGTTCGTACCTTAAACAACGATATCAGAGAGTAGTAATACCGTACTGGAATAATGGAACATTATGTACACACCTTTCCGATTCTTTGCCAATTGCATATGGAGTCAAGCAGGGATCGATTTTAAGTCCAATTCTCTTTTTACTATACGTAAACGATTAGAAACAGAAGAACAGTTCTCCTTGCGGATGATGCGAATATTCTTGGCACTAAAGAAACTGTAAATTGTACAATTTCAGATATGTCTAATTCGTTCCGTAATAACAAATTAATAGTAAACGAAATGAAAATGGTTTCAATGCAGTTTTCCATTTTCAAATAATCAGCTCTGTATTCCATTGAAAATGAACAGTGTGCCATCGACTAATGTTAAGGTAACAAAATTTTTAGGTCTTTCACTTCAGTCAAATCTTAAATGGAACGTCATTTTAAATGAATTGAGCACTAAATTAAGTTTTTTATAGTACGCTTCCAGAATTCTTTCTAACTCAGTTAGCCTCCATACTGCTCGTTGTATATATTTCGCAAACGTTCATTCCCGCCTGAGATATGGCATGGTATTTAGGGGAAATACATCTCATAGCTCTCAGACTTTTAGATTACAAAAAAGAAATGTACAGACAATATGAAATCCCAACCACGTAATTCTTTTAAGCTTCTTTATTAATCACGGTATCTTACAATTACCTTGTCTCTTGATATACGAAGCAAACAGTTGTTTTTGTTAAAAATGACTTACTCAAGGGCAGGAATACATTTTCAGCAAACGCTAAAATCTATAACTACAACACTGGACGTAGTAATTACATAAATCACATATAATACATGTACATTACTTTACAACACCTTGCCAGATGACATTAAACGATTAAATTCAATTAAAAGTTGAAGTCCCAAGTAAAAGATTTTCTGCTACTTCTGTTTCTATATCATTAAAGACTATACCAAGTATCCAAAAGGAAAGTAATATTAATTTTAACTGTGACATTGAGTGTATTATTTACCAATTGGATTGTACAATTCTAAAGAACCTGTAACAAGTATTGTACTTTAACTTCTGGGTCAATTACCTCAACTCGATCAGATTTTTGTCCTGTTTCCCTGATCCTTAAGCAAATGCTGAGATGACCCCTTGTTTTGTTTCTGGACATAAATGTAATTTCAATTTAACTTGTCACCATTGCAGGTCACAGTTTTTTGTTGTTGTAAATAAATAAATAAAAACTAAAGCAATGTGGAATATTGTAAAAAATACGACATCATCTCGGTACTTAGTAGAGTGTTGTTTTAAAGGATAATGAAAGAAAAGTACTGGCACAAAAGGACATTATTTACTTATCTGTCCAATTGTTTACCAATTGAATATGGGGTCCCACAAGATTTGATCTTTTTGTTTGCACGTACACGAAATGCCCTCGTCTATTGAAAACGGAAGAACGGTTGTTTGCCAATAACAAGAATATTCTTAACAAAAAATATCAACAATAAA